TAACGCACACCAATACTCCTCGCCTCATCTTATTGTCTTATATCGCTAATTTGTGCAATATACCTGCGGACAATTAACCAACTAAATCTTACAATAGCGTGTTTTTCTAACAGGTAAAAATGTCCCAAAATAATTGCGTTTTGAATAGTATCAATTTATGCTTTCATTCTGAAAATGTTGCTGCTCTCTCAAGCAAGGTGTGCTAAATTTAACTAGATAGTTGGTAGGCAAATACATGCAAATAAGTTATAACCTACTGTTGCTCCTGTAATTTTCAGTTTACATTTTCGGAAAATCATGCACTCGATCCTACAGTTTGAGTCTACTAGAGAACAGCACCCGTGTATTTACTATTCCTACTGGCTATTAAAAGCTTCTTAGTAGCCGGATGCTTGCTAGCTAGTTATGCTTTCCAATATGATTTCACTACATCCATAAAACGCCAACCGAAACCAGCTAAAATAGTGTCAACTTACAAACAACTGAACGATAACCTACTATTGTTATGTTCTTCTTTTAAATATGTTACTACGGAAGGAAAATTCGATAAGATCAAAAAACATTCAGAGTAGCGTGCATTTAGATAAAAAAATATTTCACTGTTGTTTCCTCCGATAAGGTACGGGTACAGTACGGGCCCATATTCTATCCTAGATTTCACACAAAATACGTGCGGCAAACGAGCGTTTAAGTTGATCGAATCTTCTAAGCGTTTAGCAATTACTACCAGGCGCTTAACGTTTCCCCCTGCCACGCACCCCACCAAGGCTTCCAACATATATCTTCTGTGTTGTTTTCAGTGCCCACTGTCGGTCCAGTCTGCAATTAATCCTCAGTTTTGCTTTATGACATTGAGGATTCAGTTTAAATGGTAAAGTGTCATCGTCTGGTTGCATAAAACTCTGGGCCCCCTTGTATAAGTGTTGCTTAGAATGGAGACATACTCGTAGGGAGTGTATTAAGTAGACCCGATTTGTTGTCCAAGATTACACTGGACGTAACCTTTGGACGAACATTGGAGAATTCTGAAAACGGCGCTTTTACGTTTTTTAAATGCAAGAGTATAATGACCGCAAACTAGATTTAATATGGTTTTGAAAAAAACAACGCTATTCCGACTTGTTATGGGCTTTGTTGGGGTGCTGTGAATATACTCAGACTAGCGATAATTTTGTTACAAGTCCGATAGTAATCCGGTCGTATGAGGAAATCTAGGCAGACATATTCCGGCATTTAGTGCTCATTCATTTTCAAGAGGAGGGGGTGCGTGAAGTCCTACCTTTCAAGAAGTAGATCATGTCTTTGAAGAAGAATTATGATATCACCAAGCATCAGGGAGCGCCTAGGGCTGAATATTTGCCAGCTAAAACAGCGTGTATCTGGAGAACTATCATCTGTCAAACCTGACTTGCAGTTTCTTAAATAAACACCGTCGGTTGGTCAACTAAACAGCAGGCATCAGTCTCTCCAGACCTTCACCGTCCACTTCCATTTGTTTGCCCCCCCCCTTTTATTTTGAATTTGAAGTTAAATAGGCCATCAACCTTCTTCAGAAAACTCCCCGGGACCGTTCTAGTCTCCAAGCCTTTTGTATTTACACTAAAAGTTTTGAAGTTCAGGGAGCTTATAGCAGGATACAGACCCTAGTGATGACTTCCTGGACGGTTCACGTAGCAAAAGAAGGTCATTTACTGTTTTTGGAATGGGACTGCACGAAGTCACATTTGTGTATGATGCCATATAAATTAAGTCACTGTCAGTATAAGTTTACGTTCGTATCAGGGCCTTTGAAGCTGTCTGTGAATAAAAGGAAGGAGATTGGGATTAGACGGCCGTGTTTCATGAGGTAGTGAACCCTGTCCGATAAAAAGTTTGGTGGCAGGCCTTTGGACGTCTTCGAAGCTATTTTGATTTTCCACGGCCCAGGGTTTCCGAACTTGAATAGCGGACACTAGTTGCGGCCGCAGGAAAATTCCAAAAACTTTGACGAAACAGCCGACATCGGAGGCATAGAAAGCGAGGGCGTGATCGAAACTCCAATTTTCGGAGTCAGGCAGGGCTTGCCTGCAAATACTCTTCGTCAGCCGCAGTTCAAATGATAGTTCAACGTTTTATATCATTGGCAAACGTTGCGATATCGCAATCCATTTCACTGACACAGTCGTTGATGTAGATAATGTACAAAATATGGCCGAGAACGGAGCCTTGAGGAACACAACTCTCAACCGCAACCTCAGCTAACTGCTTGTTACTGACATTGACAGTTTAAGAACGCTCGATTATAAAGTTTTGAAGCTACCACAGAAGCCTACCTCTCAATCCTATGCAGCCGAGTTTGTAAATCAGGCGATGGTGATAAACGCTATTAAAGGCCTTTTAGAATTCGATAAAGACTGTGTGCACCGTATCTCCTTTATCTATTGCCTTAGTCCACCGTTCTAAACAGCAGAGGAAAACTTTTACAGGGGACCTACCTCTATGTAAACCGTGTTGGAGATAGGACAGCAGGTAGATTTGTTCTAGGAATTGCACAAGTTGTTGAGCAATTATTTTTTCTATAATTTTGCAGTGAATCAAACGAAGGCTGATCTGTTGATAGTTGTTTGCGGAGATCCAGATTCCACCCTCATAGAGCG